ACACTCAGAGGCAGTGCAGTGACAAAACATGGCGCCACAGAAATGGTGCAAAAGTAGAAAGCAGCGAGAACACTTGGCTGACTGAGTGGCTTCAATCAGTTTAAATTTGAGTGTAGTATGCAAAAAGCAATGAAATACAGGTTCAATGTCCACTTTAGTTCATCCCATTTATACGTAGTTTAATGTGAGCTGCTAATGAGTCAAACGTTGGCTTTACTGCACACAGTAAGAGGAGTCATAAACTATGGCTACAAGAATCATAGAAACCTTAGGAAAAATAGCACAATGTGAAACTGGTTTCTTAATTTGCTCTCCATCTAGGTCCATACTCTTCTGACAGTGTTTCCACTCTATCCCTTCCTTGAAGACTTCTGCTGTCAGATTCACACCATGTCAGTTCAGCAGTTTGGGCTTATCAGTGTTCTTTGAGTTTGGAGAGCAACAGCCTGGTGGGTTAAGATCAGGGCTCTCGGGTGCACGAGGTAAGCTTTCCCATAGCAATTCTCAGAGAAGGAGCAGGTGCGTGGTCAGGATAGGGGACAGTTTTGCTCAGTGAAACCCTCCTGGACTTTTGTTCACCAGTGCAGTTTTCTGTTTTCCTAAAATGTTTCCCTGATTGTCCTGTGTCCTTCTGGAATATCCATCAAGATTACTTAATTGAAGTCTCTCCCACAGCACGACCACCCCACACCCCCAAGGAAGAAAGTCAGTATCGCCTTCTGAACTCTTTCCGCGGCCTTGACTTTCTTTCACTGGCCCAACCGGTCCCTCAGAAGCCACTGTTTTGATTGGACCTTCTTTTTGAAGATATCCTGATGCGGCTGAGACTGGTGTTTGACTGAGGGAACTTGTCTGCAGCCACCCACTGATCGCAGAGACACATGAGCCACAGCTAGCTTTGAATAAGCATGCATGTGTGAATTGGAGCTCTAGTAGCAAGTGCTTTTTGACTTAAGCCTCTTAACATCAGAATACCTCTTAAATGGTGCTGTTGTATTGTGGGCATTGTCATCGGTATTTTATGACAGCTTTTCTCCCTATTGATGCATACAATTCAGTGGGTTTTTGTTTATTCACAAAGTCATGCTATGGGAGAGCATCAGAAGCAAGCCTGGGCCCATGAGCGTTCACTCCCCATTTTCCTGCTGTCTCCTGGCAGCCACGATGCTCCCTTCTGTCCAGCAGGCCAGTGCCTGTCAGCAGGACCCTCCACCACTGGGCCTTCGTTTCTGCCTTCCCTCTGCAGCCATTGCGCTCACCCATCTGGTAGCGGAGATCTGCCCTCCCATCTCCTCTGCTAGATGGATAACATTCCATTGTGTATTAATTTATTCACGAGTTGATGGGCATTTTTAGTGTTTCCACCTTGTTGAATTAATGCTGCCATGAACATTCATGTACAGGTTTTTACATGTGCTCATTTGTCGTCCATTTTGTACATTGCTTCTGATATCTAAGAAACTCCGCCCGAGCCATGGCGAATGCCTGTTGCTTTCTTGGAAGAGTGTCCTCACGGGGCCTGTATTCCATTGGGCTTGCATTGTGCATGTGGGGGGAGGTAGACTGCGCACCAGTTGACAGTGTGAACATTTGCATACGTGTTTCATCCACCACTGTAAGAAGTTGCTCTGCTCTCTTGCACTTCACCTTTTGCTTTGTACCAGTCGTAATGAGAGGGCTCCAAAAACTTGTGGACAAATGAAGAGATGGAATTTTCCAGAAATTTTTGAAGCCCTGTGATACTGTGACAGGTTGATTTTCTACATGACCTCCACTGAAGTTTGTCTTAGTCTCTTTGACATGATTTGCTTTATAGTTAACAATATTCATTAAAAACAGTACTGTGATTTATTATCTACCCCCTCCCATGTGTGAACATGATTTCACGGACAAAATATTTTCCTTCACAGACTATTTAAAATAACTAACCTTCAAGAGAAGTCTCACAGCAGTATGTTTCCATAGAAAGCACCCCTGTGAGTCCACCTGTCCGTGTCTCGGCCAGGCTGCTGCCCTGTGACCTTCCCACTGGCACAGAGCTGACAGCTGTGGTTCGCTGTGATCTCCTGAGGAGGAATGGTGGATACTGACCTGCTATCTCCGCTGTTTCCTTGATGAACCATTGTGGTTGAGTTTCCCAAGAGAAGAAAATCAAAACTCATTTGTCGCTAGTAAGGGAGTGTTTTAGCCCCTTTTCTCATGGGTAGCTGACTGCCCCTGCATTCCTCACGTGAACAGTGCAGCCATGCTTCTGTTGTGCCACTCTGCCACCCCGTGGGCATTTCTGCAGTTGACGGCGTGTTGAGGGTGTAGGCCTTGCGTTTGCTCTGCAGCTTGCAGTGCTGGTCTTGGCTGTCGGGTGGGTTCTCCTCTACGTAGCTTTTGGATTTTGCTGTTCTCTCGTGAGCTCACCAAAGAAAGCCATTCACGAAACCCCTGGAAATCTGCGTCCATAAAGCCGACAGCCAAGAAACCCCCTGGAGCTCAGTTCCCCTCGGTAAGGCCCCGAGTCCATGTGGCTCCGTGGCAGTCAGTGTGTGCTCCGCTGTGCCCTGGGTCTCCTGTCAAAGCGATGGGAGCAGTTTTAGGTGAAATTGACCGCAGTGTGTTGTGGGTGCTGCTGGCTGTCTGAAGGAGCCCTGGGGTCACAGGGGTTACCAGGGCAGCTGCTGCCTGCAAGGTCTGCAGTGGGATCCTCCCGCTGCTCCGCAGGGAAAGACCAGGCTTTTTCCCACTTACAAGCTAGAGTCTCGGGCACCTTGGGGCGGTTTTCCCGTCTCAGAGTCACTGTGAGCTGCCATCTACTCAATGGCAGTGAGTTTGGAATTGTATATGGGTAGATCTTTTTTGTTTTTAAATAGTTCTATTGGCATCTACTTTACATATCCTACCACTTAACCATTTGAATCCTGTAAAGATTTGTGTAGTCATCACCACGATCCATCCAGACTATTTTCTCTCCGAACTCATCGTTGTTAGCACTCTATTGCCCCCATCATCCCCTGCCATGCTCCCCTCCAGTTACTGTCTCTATAGATCTGGTCCAGGGTTTCCAACAACCAAAGCACAATCGTAGAAAACCAGCTAGCGAATGAGCTAGCAGCAGCTCCCAGCAGTGACTGGACGAAGCCCAGGGCACCCTGCGGCAGAGCGTCATTCCCTCAGTGTTGGGTGTGGTCCTGGAGGCTCACCCCAGTGGGCCTGCTTCCTGCCTCTTCCCGGGGTCCCGGGGCAGCTTGTGCCGGTCTGAAGCCTGTTGGGTGGGGGGCCCCGGGTCCCGGTTGGTGGATAGCAGGCACCTGTAGAAGCAGGTGCTCTGCCCTTCTGGAAAGTGCCATGTTGGAGAAGGCAGGCAGAGCCACGGTGGGCACTGCTAACGGGGCCAGCCCTGCCTTTGCCTTCCTCAAAAAGATCCTTTAAAAAATGGTCCTTGTGGTCATGTGCAGCAGAGCCCGGAGTCTTGGTGCCTCTTACTGCCCAGCATGGTACTGTCGAGTGTCACATCAGCCATCGGGAGGTGTCCCTTCTCAGGCCAAGATCCTCTTGGTGTGCAAGTACACACTGGGTGTAATCTGGGGGCAGGGGGGCAGCCTATTAGGCTGCCTTCCTTGGGCTTTCTGCCTTCAAAGAGGGCAGGGGTGTTGAGCGAACGTCCCCCATTGTTCTTGTCAAGACTTGGTTTCTTCTCCCAGGAAGCCACCCTTCTCCTCCCCCCCACCCCCCACCCCCCACCCCCACTGCCACTCTGGGAGTGATACTGACCCCCTCCCTGCAGCCCGTTTTCCCACACGAGGACCTCGACAAGAGATGCTCTTTAACGGGTTCTTGATGCAGCCCATCGGGACTGCAGCTCCCCAGCGAATCGTGGAAGAGTCGGGGTTAGTTGGGTGCTTTGGGTTTTTTGGTTTTTCTAATTTTCTGTAATATTTCATTGTATGGCTTTTGAAGGGGATGGGAGTGGTCTTCCGAATGGATTTGAGTAAATAGGGAAACCCTGATGGAGAGAGCCCTACGGGGACAGCCGAGTGGAGCCACCTCCTGGGGCAAGACTGTGGATTGCTCTACTGGGGAGACTTTCCTCTCTCTGGCAGGGCCAGGTATCCTGTGAGCGTTTCTGACAGACAGTCAGAAACGAGGTTTTCTTCATGTACTTGGGCCTTCTGGCAGTTCAATCTGAAAATTGTGTGCCTTCCCACCCACCCCCCAGTTATGGAAAAAAGCCAATTATAATTCATAAGCCATGAAATTTGTATAGTCATTGCACTGTTGTTCCAAGCTGCTCGTGACCCACACATTTGATATCACAGCCATTGCCTTTCAAATAGCATGATGTCGAGGTTTCCATAGTGATGTCCATCCTGGAATCCTAGACGTCACAACAGTTTATAGACCTGATGGTATGTGATACAGCTTGGCTTCTAAAATTCCTTGTTCCCTAGCTATTTAAAGAAAGTTAAAACTTAAGGGGCTCATTTCAAGTAGCCCTCTGAGACAGTGCTGGTGCACAGGATGTTCAGTTTCACCGAAAACCCTGGCGGGCCCTGCTCTGGAGAAAACACCGCCCCCGCCCCACCCCATGCTACCATGGAGAAGGGAGAGGTTTCAGCCAGAGAACTGGAATCGGTCGGAACACTTCCTGCTAGACTGGGGTGCACATTGCACAGAATCCCAATCGGAGCAGCTCCGTCAGCCTTGGCAGATACCCGGATGTCTGGGTTTCCTGGGGATAGCTTACCTGCACAACACCCATGGCCCAGATGTGATGTGCATGAGCCCCGAACTGTACCCCTTTTCTGTCAGTCCCCTTTACATCCTTCAAGCTAACTTGAAATGCGCCCCCTAATGCGTGCTGCTCAGCGGAGGCCAACCGGCCGGCCTGTCGGTGGCCGACTTGGAGGGCTGCAGGTAAGTTGTCTGCACGTTGAACAGAGCCCGGCGGTGGTGACAGCAGCAGTGGCCAGCGGAGCCTCGCTGACCGCCGCGTGCTTTCTCTCCCACAGGAGAACTCCGGCACATCACCAAGCTGAAGCCCTGGAGCCTCTTTGATGTCCTTGTGGAGAAGTACGGCTGGCCCCACGAAGATGCTGCCCAGTTTACGGATTTCCTCATCCCGATGTTAGAGATGGTTCCGGAAAAGCGAGCCTCTGCTGGCGAATGCCTTCGGCATCCCTGGTTGAATTCTTAGCAGATTCTGCAAATATAGAATTCTGAGCTAGCCAGTGTCTCCCGGTACCTTGGACATAGCGGTGACTCTCACTCTTTAACAGGATTACAAGTGAGCTGGCTTCACCCACAGACCTTTGTTTTGCTTTGAGGTACTGTTGATTGACATTTTGCTTCTTGTGCACTGTGGCCCTGGGGAAGGGCAGTCTTTTGTCTTCAGCTAAGTAGCTTACTGACCCACTTTCTTCTGCAAACAATAACACGGCTCGGAGCATTGTTTCTTGTGTTGTGTGACATTCAGATGTCATTTTTCTTGCTTTTTTGAACGAAAAATACTTTCCCCCTTGTGTTTTGGCAGGTTTTGTAACTATTTATGAAGAAATATTTTAGCTGAGTACTATATAATTACAATCCTAAGAAAATTATCAAGTTGGAATTAAGAAATAGCAAGGAAATATGTACTATTTTAATCTTCTGGCAGAGGGACAGCATTCCTGTATTATAGTCTATGTAAATGCACCCTGTAAATGTTCATTTCCATTAAATATGGGATGGGGACTAAAATTTGAGAAAAGCTACCAAGTCTTGAGTGCTTTGTAGCTGAAGTTGTATGTAGCAACTTTGACTGCTCCGGGGCGGGGTGTGCAAACTCTTCATTCCCTAGCCGACCTTTTCCATTGGAGTCTCTGGTTTCTGAGTTCCATTACTATGTGGCACTTTAAAGGAAGACAACATGCTTCTCATTCTAAAGTACACAATATAATTTTAGACTCCCATTTGTATTTTTGCATATTTTTCAAAGTACTTTTGAAGAAAAAGGGCAATTTCCCTCTAACAATGTGACAACTCAGTACTCCATGCCGGCCTCTTCCCAGCACTGTCGGGAACTGCGCCGAGAGGAGACGGCAGTAGAAACCTGGTCGATCGAGGAGCGAAAACAGCGGCGTGTGGGCAGGGGGCGCCCAAGGGTTTGTCTGAGACACAGCATGGTCATCACAATTGGCTGGGTGGGCAGATGGCTCCTAGCCTCTTGGGGTAGCTGATCTGATCATGCGCATTCCATAGGTGGGTAGTTGTATGTGTTGCTATAGCAGATGCCAATAGCCTCTTTGTCTTCCTCATGAACTGAGGTAGAGAAAATGATTTTTCCTTCTGCAGCTTGTATGTACCCTCTTTGACTTTTAAAGTCCAGGACACTCACCCTAGTAGTCTAATGAGCAAAGGTGTCGTCTGCCTCTCTTAGAAGTCGGTCAGATGAATGAACGTAAGGTTTGTTTGGGTTTCTTTATTTTTTAAACATTTTACTTTTAAGGTGCCTCGTTTTCTTGACTTTTGTACATTAAATTTTATCCATATGCCTTTGCAATAACTAGATTGTGAAAAAGATAGCAAGTGTTGTAACAATACTCCATTGTTTGAGGTGCCTGCAGTTGTCTTAAAAATTAAAGTGCCCCTCACCCCCCTCCACCCCCTTGTCATGGTCATTGGCCTATATGTGAAGTGATAGGATCAACACACATTTGGTGTTATTTTAGTGTGGGGCAGGCATCCCCATGGGCCACATGCGGCCCACCGAGGACAGTCATCCAGCCCACTGGGTGTTTTTGCTCCGTTTGTTTTTTTACTTCAAAATAAGATATGTGTAGTGTGCATAGGAATTTGTTCATGGTTCGTTTTTAAACTATAGTCCGGCCTTCCAACGGGTCTGAGGGACAGTGAACTGGCCCCCTGTTTAAAATGTTTGAGGACCCCTGGTGTAGGGTCACCCAAATGGAAAGGAGGAAATAACAGCCTCGTTGCTGGAAGCATAGTTTGTATGGCATGCATTCTAGCTTATTCTGGGGGGTCATTTATTGTCTGGGAAGGACAAACTATGCATTTAGAAAAGAGGCTGCCGCCAGTAGGATTCACTTAGTCGAACTGCAGGATAGAGAACTCCTTCACTCTGGTTTCATCGAGCACACGTGAATTGCTTTCTGTTTGAGCGTCTTTGTATACATTTTCTGGGGGTCGGGGGTGGGCGTGGTGCTCACTGTGAAGGAACCAGACAGCCCATGTTGGGAACCAGCACCTCTCTCAGGCAATGCGTGGCCTTCATTTGCTGAATTCTTTTCATGTGTCTATAAGTGGGCCTTAAGGGTCTGTGACACCTGGTGGCTATAGATGGAGTGATGTCATCCACGATTCCCATGGGCAACAGTGCATTTGAGTCTTCCCGGAGTGTATGAAAATCATTACCATGGAGCCAACACACCTGAGAAAAAATCGTCTAGTGCAGTTTTGGCCGTGTTAGGAAGTAAACTGGGTTATTGGGAGTTTTGAAAGGGTCCCTTTGATTAAAAAAGCCTTCCTGGATAGCTGTACAGAGATTGCTCTGGGAGTACACATTTGTACTCGGGACAGGACAGTGTGAGGGGGTTCTCGGTGACTTGATGATGAGGAAGGGGCATGTAGCGAAGTGAGAATCACTGCGTAGCAAAGCCGTAGCTGAGTTTGGCTGAATGCCCCTGCTCCTCCTCTTTCTGTAGTCGCTGTGACGTTGTCATCAAAAGTGACAGGTACATGATTCTAGTAAATTCAGAAGTGGTTTTGCTAGCAGTCACCAGACAGAACTGTCCAAGGCCAAGATAAAGTAGATGTCATTTTTAAGAAGCATAACTGTTTGAGGTGAAGGGTGGTTTCCTAACTTTTTGCTGTCCCCTTTACCTGAGCCGTACGCAGCCGGTTCACAGAGAAAGGCAGGCCACGATCTCTGCGAGGGTGACATTAGCTGAGAGTGGAAATGTCGTATTAAGTAGTCAAAAGCATCACATAAAAGCTTCTGTATGTTTCATTTGTCATGGCAGGCAATTTTAAAACCATGAGGAATTTTTAAGAAGTGATTATTTTAAAAAATGAGCTGATACCAAGGGCTCAAGTGGAAAGCAGGTGTTTTGAGAATGATGATGGCAACATGTGTACAGGTGTGCTTGACACAATTGGTGTATGTACAGATTGTGATAAGAGTTGTATGAGCCCCTAATAAAATAATATTTAAAAAATAAGTGAATATTGATAGCTTCACCATACTAGTAAATTGTGTTTAAATCTATCTAGGGATAGATGATATAAAAGCAGACAAATCCTGCTTTACTCAATAATCTATAAGTCGAATTTTGTTCGACATATTAAAGATGACAATGTTAACCAAAGTGAAGTCTTGAAATTGAGGGTTAGGATTGAGCCCTAACAACGATTGTGTTAATGATCATCACTAGCTAATTTTCAGAAAGGAAACAAAAATTTGAAGGATGAACATAAGTTATGACCAGATCTTAGTCATTTTTAGTCTGTTTGCTTTTCTCCTCTAATGCACAAAATGTGTATACTTTGCCAAAGTATGTGAGTTGGATATAAAATGTGTTAACAAATAGTGCCATTACTATTGGATATGTTTAATTTTCTCAATTTTACTATTGGATATGTTTAATTTTATGTTTAACTTTTCCCCAAATTTTCCCAAATTACTATTGGATATGTTTAATTTTCCTAATTAGCATTTCATATTTTAGTAATGATTTGAGAGTACATTTTTATTTCACTTTAGATATCTTGAAATGACACTTTTCTTTCATTTTTTACATCCAGACCAAATTTAAGAAAAAAATGTATTTCGCACTTTCTTTTTATACTATAGCTGGATCATAAATGTTAAGGTTTTCCAAGTCAGTGGTACATTTCATCATGGTTGGGGGCAAACTATTCCTTATTTTCAAAAGTTGTTGTAAATTACAGTCTGTAACTGTCTCGTGTGTTGTGCATGACCATTGCGGATCCCACTTGTATACTGCAGTCCACTTACACAGCATGAGTGGGGCAGAGAGTGTCCTGGGTGAGCTGAGCGTTACGGGCACAACCTTGAGGGCCTCCTGGCACTTGTCGTCATTAAAGTGAGGTAATATTTTGTTACCGAAAACTTCTTAGAAACTTTTATCTGGAAACTAACTTTTGTTGTGGTTATAACTTCCCTAGCAGGGCCCCCACCCCACAGCCTTAGAAGTCGTACAGGACAATTTAGTAAAACTGACATAATTGTGATTTATTAACATGAATTAAAATGCCCAACCAGTGCTTCAATGTGACAGTATATTTAAAATAAAAAAGAAATTAAAGGTCATATACTGTACTACCTTCACAAAGATCACACAGTTTTGCAAAAGACTTGTCATATGTACAATGCTATTTATCAAATGAGAAAAGCTGAAAGCAGTTATATACGCAAAAGAAATGCAGTATTTACAGTTTATCAGGAAACATTAGAAATCATCTATACATTAAATTACATTTTGCTTGCAAATAACTGATGAAATGAGCCATGTTCACACCAGACTAGAAAAATCTGTATTGCGGTTTGTTTTTGTTTTTTAATCTAAGATGCACCCACAGAAAAAAAAGTGAAGCTCCTCATGGTGCCGTTGCTTAGCCGTGTACTTATTAAGCTTTATGTATAAAATAATAAACAGTCACTAAATGAATTGAATGGCAACAATAGAATTTAAAGTTCATGTAGCATTAAATCTACTGCCAGAAAAAGAGCTGGAATGTTCACTTACAAAATAAAGACCTAATACTGGCTTAACAGCACATTTTTAAAAGGAATTTTAAAAAGCAAAAAATGGGGAAAATACAATGAAAGAGCACTGGTGTTTTCGGTTTTTGTTTTTTTATACAAAGTCTCATGTACAAGCTTTAAAAAGTACCTTAATAGGTACATATGAAATATACAGTTTATCATACAGAACATTTAAAAAAATGTTTTTGGAGTCCATTAATGCCATCCTGAACCATGGTAACTGTTCTGAAATGTTGGTGGCACCTGTGCTCTGTGAATTGGAATCTGTCCAGGCACTGGAGATGCCTGCTGAGGTCCTTGAACCCCATGCGGCAGGGCCACAGAGCCAGGATGAGGACAGAACCCTGAAGCAGTAGGTGTTGGAATACTGTTTGGTCCTTGGGGTTGGAGATGAGGACCTGCAACGGGTAGTGGACAGTGTGGCCCTGTTCCAGAAGGCTGGTGTTGGGGTCCCGGTCCCAAAGTGGTCTGGTGTGTAGCTTGGGAGGGATATGGTGGCACAGCTGGATGAGCACTTGAAGGAAAAAGTGGAGGTCCTTGATGAGGGGGGTGGTGTAAGGCTTGAGTTGATGTGCTGTGATGGCCAGAAGCCAAAACATTGGAAGGTGGAGGCGGCGGAGGCGGTGGGGGTGCTGAATTTATAACATGCTGGTGTTGTGCTTGTAGACTCTGGAGTCCGGTGGAGGGGTGGGGAGGTGGGTGGTGATGGGGGGCAGGACCTGGAGGTGGAGGAGGCGGGGGTAAATGGTGTCCAGCAGTTTGAGCATGAATGTGCGACCCAGGGGCCACCGCTAGAACAGCCCCTACTCCGTGTGCAACCGTGTGTGGCTGTTGAACAAGGTGTGGTCCTGGAGCAGGCGGGGGTGGGGGTGGTGGTGGGACGACAGCAGCAGCCGTTTGATGGTGAATAGTCGGGTTCTGGGAGGACAAAAAATGCCCTGGAGTAACGTGGTGGCCTGCGACTGTAGGCTGGCTGGTGGCGCCAGGAAGTGCTGGATTTGGTCCTGATGCGAACACGGTTTGGTGGGAAAGACTGCCTTTGAGCTGACTATAGCTTTGAAAGTTTGCAGAGGGCTGCTGGCTTTGATAGTAAGACGAGGTGGAAGGAGGTGGAGGGGGTGGAGGAGGTGGGGCCGTGCTGCTCAGACTCGGTTGGTTGAACTGACTGTAAGTTGCTGGAGATTGTCCTGAGGGTGTCTGTGTAAATAACGCGCCTGGAGTTGCCTGCTGAGTACTTGCTGGAAGGTGCTGTGCTGCTGGGTAAAAATTCCTCGGAGGCTCTCTCTGAGGTGCTCCAACTTGAGGTGACTGTGAATGGTGGGGCCGGTAGGGAGATCCTAGCTGCTGGGAAGGCGGCTTTGGTGAAAGGTACCCGTGTTGCACAGGGGGGTGGGGCGTAGTGGCCTTGGGAGGGTTCTCTATGTGAGGTGACGGAGGACAGTGCAACTTGACCTGTGCAGAAGGCAGCTTCTGTGAATGTTGCTCAGATGAGTTGCGAAGGTGTGGCTGAGGAATTGGATTCTTTGAAAGTGCTTGGGTGACTGTTGGTAGCGGTTTCTGTTGGAGCTCTGTTTTTAGGTGAACCCCATTTTCAGTTTCTGGTACAACACTGGTCGCCTCCCAATGGGGATCTGGCTTTATGAGTATTTTCCCATGTGGCTGAGCAGGAGCTACAGGTCCAGGTGAACCAGGCTATGAAAAGAAAAAGTCTATTAACTTTCTGGTTGTTTTGGGTTTTTTTGTTTTTGGGGTGGGTTGGAAAAGTTAGCTTTTCCCCCCCCCCAGCAGTTCCAATAAGTTCTTACAGTGAGCTTAAACTAAATTCCCTGTATTACTTTTTATTGAAGTTAAGGAAAATAATGATCTTTTCAGTTGTATTTGCCCCCTTCCTCCCATAAATGATACCTATTTTTTTAGCTTTCAAAATCTTAAACTATGTCATTAAGTTTGGGTGCTATAATTGAAATTTGTATGACAAAACTAATGGTAAACTGGTTTGGGTAACTCAACTTGCTCCCCCCAAAATTTCAATTTTTGATACTATTCAAGTATAACTAATCAAATATAGACTACTTAAATGTGTATGATTTTCTTTTTCAAAAAGAACTAATTTGCAGTTTCCTCACTCATGGCTCCTAAAGCTTTGAGATGACCACGACTAAATGGTGGCACAGGTTGGGACTGTCTGTTCTGTAACTGAATGCCATTGAACCATTTTATTGGTTGGTAAGATACTTACTGAAAATGCATGGATACTAGATACTAAGTAGGTAACACGGTAACACAGTGGAATGTGTTTAACAGAGAAAAAACATCTGCATGCTGACACTGCCTCTGATTGGTAATTATCAAAGCTGTGTGCACTACTTGTTACCTTGCTGGATTTTGAAGGACTTTTACAAATCTTTTGAGAAGAATCTGGAGATGGACATTCATTTGTAGGTGTGGGTTCTGGGTTTTCAGGATCTGGGTCTATAAAACAAAAGAAACTTAAGTTAATGGAAAGTTATAAGATATAGTTTGACTTTATGAACACTTCAAAGCAGTATTTACTATTGAACTATTTATTCAAATCAACTTTATAAAAGCCCCCCCCATTTTTTTTTATAAAAAGGTGCTTAGAAAATAAAATTTAAAAGGTGTTTAGGATTATAATCATGAGAGAAAAAAAAGATTATAACCATGATAGGTCATCTGCTTACTGACCTTCCATAAGTTCACTGAAAGAAGGGCCTGGGCCCATTGGTTGCAACTGGGGAATGTGATTTGAATGAGATGAAGGTGAAGACTGAACATGACTCGGTGAGCATGAGATACATGGTGACTCTCCCCCTGGAGATGAAGCAGAAGCAGACCCAGAGAGAACATTAGAACCACCAAGAACCAGGGGACAGAGCGATTAGCTGACTCCACGGGTTGGTGAAAGATCAAGCTCACTTACCACTATCTCTATCTTTTCGGTGGTCGCTGAGAAGTAAAGCTCTCTGATAACTCCGTTCTCGCACCTGTTCCACTGAAGTGGAGGCGGTCCTTTAAAGTAAAAGGTACTGTTAGCTGGAAGAAATACCTGACTACTGATCACCGTGACCTCTCAGACCAAAATTTTTCTTCAACTAGGAAAATGGCCATTTACGATTTTAAATTAGGGACCCCCCCAACTCTCAAGTCTATTTTAAGAATTCATTCATTCTTTTACCTTAAGCAATTTCTTGGTGAAAAGACAAGAGAGCTGAAGGATTATAGTGTGTTGATATTCAAAATCATTTTCAGTTATCAATGATACCGAAATATGCCTTTAAAAATTACTTTGTGTCAGGACTGTCAACTACTGTGAAGTTCTCAGAAGTAAGGGGCAAAGTGCATGCAGCCCTCTTCCCCGGCCACAGCCCACTCCTCTCTCTAGCTGCTTTCTTTCCTACTGAAGAAACACTAAAGTCAAGAAACAGCAAGATACTGACTGATCAAGGTTTTCTGGAAAAGAATTATCTATGTGTGAATTATAAGAACAAATCACCCAAGAGTAAACACAATGGACCTTTAACAACAATGAAAACATTGAGGTCGCTTGAAATCCTCAGCCAGGATGACCTTTCAAGTTGCGGCCACCAATCTCTTATCTATTGAGCTGTGGTCGACATTAGCAAAACTCGGGACACGGGAACACAGTTCCTGGAAGGACAATCATTCAACCCTTGAAGAGCACAGCTCCACTCACAATCAGCTATGTGAAAAGTTAACTTTTTAAACAGGTTTACCATTGTACTTCGGGTTCATTCTTCTCACTGGCAGAAGCTTCCTTAGCAGGACAGTTATTGCTGGTTTCTTCAGGAGCATCACTGTGAGCAGCGGCTGGTGTTGGTAAAGGGAGGCTCCCAGGGTTTTCCACCGGCTCTCCATTTTCACTACTGTGGGCACACCCATTGCCGCTGGTGGAGTTTCCACTTGGGTGAGGTGAAACACTGACCGGTGGAAAGTGGTCTGCCTTAGAGCCACTTTTCCTAGCTTCCCGTTGCCTCTTACGGTATTCTAATAGAGAAACCTTCAGCAAGAAAGGTAAGGAGAAGCAAATCTTTCATTCTTGTTATATATGTTAGAGCTAATCACTCTTTTAAATAGAAACATTTTATTATGAAAATTATATAAAATAATTTTCTGAACAAGTAACAATAATTAAAAATATCAAATGTCTACAGTATGCTAGGCATTGTACTATATGATTTACATTATCTCACAACAACCCTATGAAATAGGGATAGAATTATCCCCATTTTACAGATGAGGAAATTGAGTAACTCACTCACTCAAGGTCACAGCTGGTGAGTGTTGGAGCCGGGATTCGAACCTAGGTCTTATTGAAAGCCCGTGCTCTTTCCACTATACTACATTGCTTCCCACAAAGTTGCCAACTGGACTCTGTTATAAAAATTAAAAGCACACATCACTAAAATTCTTTGACTTGCAAAGCAATAAGCTTATGAACAAATACATGTCGTTTTTCCTTTTCCTCTGAAAAATCAGGCATTCTAATTGTCTCAGTTTATGGGCCAAAGAATGGGGCTAAATCTGGGAACTTAATGTTGCTAATACTTACAAGCCTTTATCAATACAATCTCTAAAAATGCATTTACATCCATGGTCTAAGTGCGAGATTTTCTGAGGGGCAGGGCTCCATGACACTGCCTAGTCTATGTGAAACGAAGGCGAATAGGGCACAGTTATCTAGTTACTCGGATGGGAGTGTGTATTTTGTGAAAGGACTTGTTTGGTGAAATAAATCATAGTGAAATTTTTGCAACAAACTCCTTAACAGGGATTTTCTGTATTGGAGTTTTTAACTTTTTCTGCAAACATGTCCTAGTTAAGTGACATTTACATAGGTTTTTTAATATGACATACCAAAAGTTTAACTTGAGAAACGAAATTAAGAATGCCTTACATAATACACATTATAGCTACTCATCATAAAGACTATAAATTTGTAACCTTTTTCTTTTGTGGTGGGTTCTGGGGTGTGCAACTTCCATCGATCAAACTGTCACTGACAGTCCGTCCAAAACCAGATACCAGTCCATCTTCTGAAGCACAAAACACGGTAGTTTCCATAAACATGCCTCTGGTATCCTCTTGCATCAGGCACTTGGACTCACTTATTCGGAAGCCACCTCCAACCTCCAACTGATGTGAGGGTGTCAAATCCCTCAAGTTAGAGTTTACTGAGAAATTAACTCCTGTTCTGTCAGGACTCTTCACCCAGGAAGAGTAGGCTGTGCCTCGTCCAGTGTGGGGAGACTCCAGTTGGCTGCTGGCCTCAGTCCTGTCGTGGGTGGGTGTCTCCATGCTTTTATGTAAGGCAGTCGGCTCGATTGCATCGAGTCCCAGCGGAAGGTCTGCCCCGGGCTCCTTTTCCCCAGGGCACTGCCTGCTGGCCTCAGTCCTATTCCTTGGGCTGGTGTAACCAATAGTCTTTATTTCTTGCAGACCCAGCTCAGTGAAGTTAGAACTTCTGAGAGGCCCCAATGTTAACATGGTTGAAGATCTGTCATATCCCTGTTTGCAGAATTAAAAAAAAAAAAAAAATTACACCAGTAACACTATCTTGACACTGCTTATTTCAGAATCTGCCAATAATTTAAATAATACTAGGGCAGTCACCTTTTGCTGTAATTCCTTACCTCTTGACTATAAGTGCGTCTCTTAATTTCTGGAGAACTTTCTGGAGAAGAAATATTCTATATAAAAAGAGATTACAATTGATCATTAAAATATATTGCCAAACCCATACGCACAGAAATAAACTAAAATTTAACACAAAAAAACTGCAAGACTGGTTTGAGAGTTTTCTGTTTTATTTCCATGTCCTCAAAATACCAGATTTAAGGTAAAGCTGATACATGTAATCACCTGACCTCCGTATCAGTAAGAAGAATGCACATTTTAATGAAAGTTTCAATTAACAGTAAGTTCATTTCAAATTCCGCTTACGTTCTGAAAAGTATTTTTTACTCGGTACACAAGTTCATTTACATTTCTTACCTCAAAGTGCATGGTATTTCCTGGTGTGCCAGGTGTTACTGGGGTTATTGGTGAATATATCGGCTTATAACCATTTCGACAAGTTTCATCGTCTGCTTTTGTCCGGGGAGGAGTGGCAAAGGATGAGTCTCCAGGAGTAAGGTCCGTGTGAGTTGGCGTAGCGTACGGGGAAGGAGTGGGTGTGGAGGTTTCGGAGTAAGCGGAGTCTAGTAACGGATAAAGTCTCCGTTTTTTCAGTGGTGTAGTTAAATCTGTTAGTGAAAAAAAAAAAAATCCAAAAGGTATTAGTTACTACGACATCCAAGAAAGTATCAAAACATCAACCATACTAAAAATGACAACTTTAAGACAAGATTGACATGAAGCAATCTCCCCTGCCTGTAGGAACTGCACGGGTAGCAAGCGTTCCCCTGCTGAGGCCTCTCGGCACTGTATTTCACCTTCTTAAAATCCTCCTGACTCTGTAAAGCAGCTTGTCCAAAGGCTAAATAGCCAAAAACTGAACCATAAATTCTGGGTAACCTATTATAAATAAGGAATTTGTCTATATATTCACCAAAACAGGGACAGCAAAGCCCAAGTTCCCATGACCAGGAAATGTGCAGTCTGGCACAGCAATCACTAGAAAACGCCTGTTGTGAAGCAGCTCTGGCCACGTTCCTCACAGTAACAACACTGAAAAGAAATTCTACCTGGAAGGGAGAAGCTATCATTCAATAGCAGTGGGCTTTTACTTTCACCATTGACTGTAGGGCTTCTGCATCTTTCTTGACAGGGTGAATTAAATCTATGTAAAACGACGGAATTTTCTTCTTCCAGAGCTTGTTTCAACCATCGCTGAAATACATGAAATTGGAAATAATGAATTTTCGGCCATTTACATAAGATGTACATACATAGAGGGCATATTTCAAAAGCATTCACAACTAGGGATGGCAGGAAGGCATAAGGTTGCCATCTGCCTTAGCCGAGATTTTATTTTTATCATTTTATTGGAGCTCATACAACAATCCACACATAAACATCAATTGTGTAAAGCACACTTACACATTCGTTGGCCCTCATCATTCTCAAAACTCTCACTTTCCGCTTGGGCTCCTGGAATCAGCTCATTTTCTCCCCCCTCCCTCATGAACCCTTGATAATTTATGAATTATTTTATCATATCTCACACTGCCCGGCATAGCTGAGTTTGTTTTTTAATCATTTTATTAGGGGCACATACAACTCATCACAATCCACAAGCATATTCATTTTGTACATTCATTGCCCTCATCATTCTCAAAACATTTGCTCTCCACTTAAGCCCCCGGCATCAGGTCCTCATTTTTCCCCTCCCTCCCCGCTCCCCACTCCCCCATGAGCCCTTGATAATTTATAAATTGCCCTGTCCGACGTCTCCACCCACTTTTCTGTTGTCCGTCCCCCAGGGAGGAGGTCACATATAGTTCCTTGTAATCGGTTCCCCCTTTCCAACCCACTCTCCCTCTACCCTCCCAGAATCACCACTCACACCACTGGTCCTGAAGGGATCATCTGCCCTGGGTTCCCTGTAGTTCCAGTTCCTATCTGTACCCTCTGGTCCAGCCAGACTTGCAAGGTAGAATTCGTGTCATGATAGTGGGAGCGGGGAGGAAACATTTAGGAACTAGGGGAAAGTTGTATTTTTCATCATTGCTACATCGCACCCTGACTGGCTCATCTCCTCCCATAGCCGAGTTTTTATATTCCAAGAAAAGGTTACCTTCTTGCATGAGCCAGAAGTGTTTTCAGGGGGTTCTCGTCTTCTCCTTTTTTCTGAAAGGAATGGTGACGTAAATCGAATATAATGCTTAGGAGTAGAGTAGACATGGGGAGTGTAGGTAAGACCTGGTAAGGAATTGAGCTGTGTGGCCAGCACTTCAGGGTCTGTCGTTATGCGCAGGGGCCTTTCTGAAAGGCTGTCTGAAGGTCTTCCAGTCTTCTCATTCTTCTCACTTAACCATTCATTGACCAAGTGCTGAAGAAAAAAATTCGAAATTACACAAGATACTCTTTATTAAAATATAGACTGTTTTAATTAGGAATCAGGAAAATAATAAATCGCACAATTTAAGTCGTTCATGTAAGATGTCCAAATGATATGATTCAATATTCCTTTATCTCATCTGTTATTCCCAGTATTTTCTACACAGCATCTTGTAGAATGTATATAAGTAAGATACTAATACTTTTTAGTTTAGGAAACCAGCGCATATGAATAAATACAAACACTAAATTAGGCTTGTGTCTCATAGGTGAAAGAAAACAAAAGAAAGCTCAGTTTAAACTGATTAAAACAGGGCTTTCCAACCTGGCTAAGGAACCCTGGTGGCACCGTGGGTTAGGTGTTAGGCTGCTAGGTACAGAGTTGTAGGTTTAAGCTCAACAGCTGCTCCAGAAGAGAAAAATGAGACTTCTACACCTATAGGGTTGCTGTGAGTTTGGTTTTTTCCCCTCAGTGGTTTCAAAGGAGACGTTGCCAGTGCAGTACTTTTAAAAGAAAATGATGTGCATTGGAAATCAGAGATTGAATACCAATAATCTGACCCATCTCATATTCCTGTTTGGAAAATTCCGGCATTTTGTTTTGTTTTAAACCACTCTGCTGGTTCTTTGGTATGTAGTGGACACAATTCAGTCTTTGTGGGCCATTTTCAGATTTAATGATTACCCAACTGTTTCTGAAAGTTCAGTTGTAATGGGCATGGAAATAATATTCTTTTTGTTATATGGGCATCCATATCTCTTAGCTAGATATCAAAATATTCTTTTTTATTATAAATATAATGTCTAGATAATTTGGAAAGTAATATGGGACTTTAAAAAGTTCATGGGAAGATTAAATTAAAAGGAAATAGAATTATCCCACAAATATTTCGAAACCCCCTCATTTTACACACACGCACACACTTTACAAAACATTAAGAAACAGCCTTCCCATCTTCTAGAAATGACCACTATGAACACTTGGATCTTTTTGGCCATGTATACAGGACTCTATATATACATAGAACTTCCTATCTACGAGTAGCAACAGAATGGGGAAGCACCTGAACTCTCAAGAGTAACCTGGAGGTGATATGTGGGAACTTTGAGCACACTGTATAACATTTTTTGCACCATTTCTGTAAAACAAGTCCTAATAAACCCAGGTCTCCAAATGCAGTTGTGAAGAACAGAGGAATTAATACATAGAAGCTCTGAGGAAGGGTGGTGACGGGGTGTACATGTGCGTGCATCAGCTTTGAAAATTAGTAATTAGTAATGTTACGTTTCTATTCTTTCTAAATTCACATTTTCTTACTCTTGATAATGTTTTCATATACTATACAGATCGATTGCTAGTGGATATATGCCAGCACCACATGCCAGAACAGTATCCGAGAGTAAGTTGTAGTGGTAAAGTGAATGAGGTCTTTCTTTTATGGGCAATAACTACAATTTGATTCTTCTACTTAGTCAAACAGTACGTTGGTTTAAATATGGTTGAAACACCATACCTTTGGCCACAAGGTTTTTTTAAGAGGATGAGGTGAGGGTAAACGAGGGGGGCTTTAAAAAGTTCATGAATCCTCTTACTAGGGGGAGGCAGAAGTCCACATTCAGCCAGGAATTGAAATTAACTTTATGGCCACAGCAATAGTCAACCAGGGATCATGTCAATACTTATTTGCAATTGAGGTAGCTTCTTTTAAACCTGTTGGTTCAGTTTTTATAATACAATTAAAAGAAAAGTCAGAATTCTTTACTTTCCAAGGCGAGCATGGTTAGAATGTGGGCTTGCTTGCTTATGCTGTTAGGAGAAGGGATGAGTAGGGAACCAGCTGTCCTTAGATCTTAGCACTCCAGAAGCCCGTGACTCTACAACAGGTAAGTTCGACTCCTCATGGCTTAGCGCTGCCTACAAACTGTACTGATCATGTCAGAACAAACACAAAGCAAATGGCGTCTAGCAAGTGTGCCACAGAAGTATGTCGAAAGAATGTTGCTGCTCCCATCTGCTGGATCCACTGCAACCACAAGTGGAAGGAAAACGGACACTCAGCAAGGGCAGTGTTCACTCTGGAGCTGTAAAGCTCAGCTCATATTAACTCTGTTAATAGTTTCCTATAATCAATTCATTACGTCTGGCAGTAGTTTTTCAAAGACTTTTATTAATGAATTGATCTAAAATTACTCTTTAAAAGTTTCACATTCTTAGTACATTCTACTGAAGTTAACATTTCCTTTATAATTTTCATAATCTACCTATACAATGTAATCGATTAAAAAAGGATAACAATAACATCTAAAACTAGTTTTAAAGAAGAGCGATGAGCTGTAACACTAAAGGGCATCGTGACCTACTGGACATGATCACTTTACAAGAAAGCAAAACTGCAACGGATTTTATTCCTGCTAAAATAGCATGTTGAATTCTTAAGAGACATAATTTTTAAACTTGTAGGTTTTAGCCATTTGTTCATTATGAGATGTTACAGAATGAATTTTTTCAAAGCAATAATTACCATAACCACTGTTAGCAAATTGAGTTTCTATTACATTCCTTAAGAACCATACCTTCTTTGTTTTGGGGTACTTTGTAGGACACTTATTAAGTGCTGGAACTTCGGTTTCAGTAATTATTTCTGCTAGTGCAGTTTCCGTTTCTGGCTCTACTGCAAGTACAGCGTTTTCAATGTCATTTTGTTGGGAGGCAACTTCTACGTCAGGAGAAGATGGCTGGATATCTGAACACATGCTGACAGTCCGGTGTCTCCGGCGCTGCTGGCCAATGTGAGTCCTGCCCCGAGAAAAGCTTTTTCTCTGCTTAGTTCTGTTCACTTTGGCAGGCGTGGGCTTGCTAGTCGTTTCTTCTTTTGCTTGTTCCTAATTGACATAAGAAACAGTGTTAGATAAACTATTTTTAAAAAGAAAGCACCTAAAACATTACCCAATTTCCTTATTAATCTACAATTTACTTATGAATTATGACAACATGTCACATCATGTAAAACCTTGGCTTCAAAAAATAAAGTATATGGCACCTCAGGTAGAAATTCTCATAGTTGGTTGTTGTTTTTTTTTAACAAATCCTACCATTGAAAGGCTAATGTCTGAGGCTATTGGTAGGGCATTTGGCCGACAGGGGTTGATTGCCCAGTGAGTGATACCTGGAGAGCCTCTGCGTCACTGCTGGGCTGCGCGTCCTTGCCCTCGGTTTTCACCTCCGTTTTGGCTGTGCTGATTCTTTCCAAAGCTTGTTCTCGCCTCTTCTCTCTCTTTTCAAGTCTGGCGAAAGCTTGCAGAATTGCTTCCATTTTCCTTTCTTCTCTAGTCTGGGAAATTTAAATTTTAATAAATATTGCTCTGAAGTATACGCAAAAACTCCAAATGTGCATGGCAAATTAAAAATACCATTGTTACCATAACAGAAATACTTTTATTATTGGTAGATATGATAAATAATTTTAGTAAGCACTGCCATTACAGATGCACTTCATGAAAGGGGCACTGGATGACTTAAGTGTTAATGGTGAGTAAAAGGTTCAAAACCACCTTGCTTTACCAATATTACTACAGAAATCAACCCTTTTTAAAAGATTCCGAGTTAAACTAAGTAAAATGTTGAAAAGCTGTGACTCTAGATAAATTAGTTACCTTTCTGAGACAACAGAATGTGGCTCATAACACTTAGGCTTTACTGGATCGGTACTATTACTCAGACAGAAAATGTCAACATTTTCAAACAATACTTGGGAAAATAGTAGGCATTCCATAAGTGTTAATTGTTCTATTTTAGCCCACTTGCCCATTATAATTCTTATAAGGCATTCCTCTACCTTCTGCTCTTCCTGTCTTTTACTGACAGTGCAAGGCAGGGACTGAGGAACAGCAAGGGTTCCTTTGAGCGGCAGTTCGCCTTGGATGGAGAACTTTAAAAGCAAGACCCAGAGCCTTGACAAGTGGGCCTGGCAAATGCTTCAGCTTTCAACCAGAAACGGGAAGCACGTCCATCAACTGTCCAGTTCTCCAAATGAAAAGAACCAGGTCCTGAGGCTCAGATCCATTTGTCTTTCCTCCTTTATTGTCATCGATGTGGGGAAGAAAGAAAGAAAGATCAGAAACTCAAGGTCTGGCTGCCAGGGGCTCGTCAACAATGGGCTTTAGTTCCAGTAATTACCAACAGATAAATAAGCATCAAGACACCAACACTCTGGAAATTACCCACCGTTCTGTTTTCTCATTTGTTACACTCTGTAAGGGAACAAAGCAGTATACCAACAAACTCCTCGCATAATACTAATATACAGATTTCTAATTTGTTAACAGTAAATTCCCATACTGTAAATGTGCTACCTAAAAAAGTGTGTCATACTCACTCAGGAAACTAGTCTACAGAGGTAAGAATACTTGCTCATGGATACAGGCCTGTATCTTGGATCTCTACTCTGGGATGGGTAATCAGTCAGACACCAAAAAGTATCAGCAAAAGATGGCCGCCTTTCATATATACTAAATATTTTGAAATTAAATTCTTTGGACAATTCCATGTCTCAGGTCTCTAAATTCTTCACTACTACTCACCTTTTAATCTTAGGTCTATTAAAACCCTGTTCCTGTATGCTAAAATAACAACAGAAAATACACAACTGTTGCTGTTGAGTTGTGACTCATGGCAACTTCATTCATGGTTCCAGCATACAGCCGTGCTCTGGAAGATACTCACCAGCAACGAGCAGGCAAGCAACAAGCAGGCCTTCTGAGGTGCTTTTCGTGGATTTGAGCCACCATCTGTTAGTAGTAGCTCAGCACAACCCTCGATGCCACATAGGGACTCTTCGGTATTTGGGTTTTAAAACTTATTCGGAAATCTAAAGTGAGAGTTTATATAATTGCTTTATCTAGTAAATCTGGTTGGAAAGTAGTTCTCCAAACAAATTCAATGTGGGAAGAAATACGGTGCCATGAGAAAATAAACGCCTACAAGCAGGAATAATTTTAGGAAGAAGTTTTGTATATTATCTGAGGTTTTGTAAGATGAACGAGAAATTAGGCCAAAAGATGTTTCTTTGACATGGTTCAAATTTCACTTGTGTGGAATTATCAGAACAAAATACATAAAGACCGAGAATCATTCAGTTAAAAATACAGTTCATTGGTAGTCAAAGCAAAACCTCAATCTTAGGACTCGAGATTGTATGACTTTAAAATGACTCAGCCTATTTTAGTAAGTCAAAGCCCATGTTTACATTAAGTGACTCAGAAGCACAGCAATGTTTATCCAAGTGTCTTTTATTCTGAATACCCTGATAACCACTGACCTACCACACAAAGCAAATGCTACAACTGTCAACTGAGTAAGAATGAAGCAGAAGGCAATTAACAGATTTCGGAATAGTTTTAACCCAGCTTCATAAGACACTGCATGGGTGTATAAATACCTTATTTTCTACAGTGCATTCAAATATTTTAAATCCTTTAAGGTTCATGCCATCCAGCTGTGTACTCACTGCTGTTATCTAAGAATTCTGTTGACAACATACCTAAGCAGACTGTATTAAACTCATTTTATCGCTCCACCAGAATAATAGTTTATATACCGTGAAGGAGTTGGAGTGGATTAGAGCCCTTTTTAATAACCCCAGCAGATTGTTGTAGACCCTAACACCCTGTGCTTGATCTTATTTGCTCCACTTCTTACACTTCTCACTACTATTCATATATTCTAAAACGATGATTATGTCCATTTCTGCAAGCTGGACAATAGATCAAGCTTGGTATGCAGTTAGAATCAGATACGGTTGTTTTTCAGGAATGTGTTAACTTTTGGCACAAAAATAATGCTTGAGTGTGGGGGGTGGGGTGCGTGGAGCTATAGGATTGCTTTTATGACAGTATTATGGCTTTGCTACATACAGCATTGTAATTTTCTATATAGGAAAATGCTTAATGTTATGTCTATAGGATTTTATCACTTTAGGAGTGACAAAACAATTTTTTAAAAACCAACTGTGTGCTTCAAACCAGAAACATCTTAGAACAAAAATTCAACTTGAAATCTTTTAACTTTGTACTTGGAAGAAATAACAGGATTGTCGTCTCAAGCTACCTGTTCAACAGGTGCAGAAAAATAGCTCAAGGATAAGTATTGACATTTCCACTTATATTCAATGTGATTTATAAGCTGTACTTACACTATATTTATGATATATTCAGCATTACAACCAAAAATAGACATCAGTAGGTGAATTTTTAAAACCATCCCAGTTAGAGAAATGTAGCTGGTAACTTGAAACTAAGTTAGAAATTACTGAGTGTATAAATTAATGGATGGCACAGCAAGTAGCTTTAGAGGGAAATTTGCTGGCTGTGGGGTTTAAGAACTGAGAAACAATGACTGAGGGGACCTAGGGACTCCTGATGTGCCTTTCTGCCTTGCCATTCGCTAAAAGGTAACTTTTCTTGAATATCATAGAAATAAAAAGTTCTGCCCTAAAATCTCAGAGAAACAAAGATTCCTTATGCAAAAATAATTCCCTGTATCAATTAGAAATGAAGTTCTGAAATTTTTTTTAATGGCTATGATTATTGGTTACCAATGAAGATTATCCAGTACAGTAGTAGTTTGTATACTATCCATCGTTTCTCTCTGTCCCAGTGATGTTCATGGTCCTGTTTACGCTTTGGTATTCATTTTTCTGTACACCCTGCCATCACTGAAAGCAGCCTGAAGGAAAAGACTTGGCCTGCCTTGTTCATGAGCACCTCAGTACCCTTAGTGATGCTTAGCATATAGCAAACACGAACTTTTTGTTCAGTGAGAAAGGCTTGAATCGTCTAGAACATGTGTCACTGCTATTTGAAGTCATAAAGAGGATGCTATTAAGTAAGATTTTGGAAATACTTATTGCAAGGCAGTTAAAGCAGAACATTCCTAATTTTAACAATACCTATGCGAAAACAAGGCTTTTTGCAACTCTCTAACATGTTATTAATGTCTTATCTTTAAGTAAACCGTTCCTAAACATTGATGAGAAAACTAGATCTTAGAGAAAGATTCTTAACCAGCATCAATGTAATTTCTGAACAGCTTTTAAATGACCACAAGCCCTGGACTCTCAACAATGAGGCTTTATTATAGTGTTCACTCAACTGTCCACAGCGCACACACTTTCAACAAAACCTCAGGGGAATGCCTTTTTGTTTACTTGCAAAGTCTCCAGGGTACTATTTGTACAGGGCTGTTCCTGTGCACCGTGCACTCTGACTCCTAGCCGACAAGAGTAGAACTACATGGGAGAACACAACCAAGTCTTGTCTTCTGTGTATGTGAACAGCCAGGCTTTTAACCACTGTGCTATTAGTAAGCTTCATTTCAATCACAACACTTAAAGGTAGTCCATTTTTCCTGAAATTGCTGCCATGAACATTTTGTTGGCTCATTTATTGGGCATCTGCTTTCATAAAAGCCAGGCATTCCCCTCACATCCCCAAGAAGCGGGACTATTACAAAAGTACACATTTTTGCTTATATTCTTGTGAGATGTTTATACTCGTAGAATCTCTTATCTAGGTAACCCTGCCCTAAGTCAGTTGTGACTCACAGTAACTCTCAACAGGGTTTCCAAGATGACATTTTCATGGCAGCAAAAAGCCCCATCTGGCCTTGTGGTTAGCAGTCCAAGTAGAGGGACCCATGGTACCCTGAGGGCACCTTGAGATCTAGGTAACTACTAACTACTTGTTTTATCCTTCCATTCACTACCCTAAGTGTGAAGACCTAATGAATACCTTCTATCAACTCCAATTAAGTAATGCATTTCCAGGGTACTTCAATAAGGAGGCCATAGAAAACTTTATTTTGAAAAGTTAATTTTTAAATGCTGTATTCGGAGGGTTTCCCCCTGCCATTTTAAGTGATTGCTTATTTAAATAGACAAAGACGCTCTTCACAATACCTAACCCTTTCTTTGTACGCTCCACCTGTGGTGAGGCTACAACTCTTGTCCTTGTTTGCAATTTAGTGAGCATGTATAATCTACGTATTTACAATGCCATAGCTTAACTGAGCTGCCTATAAGGTTCCCCCAAACCAATTATAACTTGCCCAAGGATTATCTTAAGAGCCAACAGAGAAATGTAGAATATCCATTCTTCATTCCATTTTCCATTCCGCATTTTAGCCACAAGTTTGCTACTGTTAAGTGTTTAAGAACGTCCTAAGGATGGTGAAAAGTACAACCAAAAATAATATAGAAAAGGGAAATGTTAAATCCAAGGCCAAAGAAAAGGATCTGATGTTTTCACAAAATCTATAATCAATCTTTATCCCCATATACTCACACATACTACCACACAGACTCAGATAAAATCCTAGTGAAAAAGGATTAACCACATTTTTCTTCCCTCTAGTCTCTTACCCCTAGAGAAATAAATTCCATACAATTTAGCCCCCAGTTTGCATTTGTATGCAGGTAATCTATGCTTGTTAGAACCTCACTCATAAGCTCCATCATAAATACTACCTAGTACATGCAGCAATCTCTGATCCTCCCAGCAAGAAGTGACCTACCATGTATTTCCTAATGAGCCCTGGTGCACTGTCAGGTGAGTTATTAAAACTCCAGTCACCCTCGGGTAGAAAGATGAGGCTGGCTGTTCCTATAAAGATTCCAGTATCAGAAACCCCCTCAAGCAGTGGTTCTCAACCTTCCTAATGCCATGACCCTTTAATACAGAGTTCCTCAAGTGTGGTCACCCCCCCCACCATAAAATTATTTTCGTTGCTACTTCATAACTAATTTTGCTATTGTTATGAGTCAGGCAACCCTTGGGAAAGGGTCGTTCAACCCCCACAGGGGTCAGGATTGACTCAATGGCAGCGAGGTTGGGTTTTGGTTATGTTTTGGTTATGTTTTATTTTACTCTACTACTCCTGAGACTCCTAGAGGCACAGGGGCTATATAAGCACTTAGCTATCAACTGAAAGGTCGGCAGTGTGAATCCCCCAGCTGCTGTGTAGGGGAGAGATGGGGTCATCTGCTTTTGTAAGATTACAGCCTTGGAAACTGTTGGCGCAGTCCTGCTTTGTGCTGTAAGGTAACTGACACCATGGTAATGAATCCATGGTTACTACCTTTTTTAGGGGAGAAAAGCAGTTTGGGTGAAAGTTTATGATGCAAATTCATTTTCCATTCAATGTAGTCACATTTTGTTTCCTGACATCACTTGCAGTGAGGCCCCTCAAAGTATCAGCACGCTCTGCACTTAAGTGGCTTGTTGCCATTCACCCTGCCTTGTGAACTTCAGTTTGGGTGCTCCTCACTGGTGCTGCTGCTCACTTTATAGACCTACCTACTGTTTAGATGAATGGTAATTTTCAAGAGAGGGTTCAATTCCAGGATTAAGATCTCTTTTTTAGACCAATAAATAAGTCTGGTCCTTTTTTTTCCTTTCCCCTCCTCTTGGTTACCACATATTTTTGTTAATTGTTTTATAAATGGTCCTAAGGGCGGAGAGTGTACAGTTTTTCATTCTCATCAAAATAAGCAAAGTGAGTAACCCAAATACATAAATAAACCCACTGATGCAATTAGAGACTGAACAAGATGCTAAATGTTGTTCTGTGTGAAATTGCCATTTGTGTATGTAAACAGTCAAAAGAGCAATTTCATATGGCTCAAGCTATAAAAAGATGAAGCACATTTACATTTTTTGCATTTACATTTATAGATGACATTTTCTTTTAAGAGGATTCTGAGGCTTCATCTGAAAGGAGGCTATGAATGACTTCTTTTATCACAATCTGGCATAGCACAGCTATTATGCCCCGTCATCCATGTAAGAGATTAAAATTCTGTCCTCTCATGGGAGAAAATTTAAATCTGTTTAACAGACTTCTCTGGATTAGTACCATGACGACTATTTTTACTTTATCCAGGTTTACTTGTTTTCAGTTGCCACTTTATTTGACCTTTTCTTTCCAACTACTGTTTACCTAATCAATACAAAAGACAAGGAAAAAAAATCACTTTAACTTTTCTAAACCAAGTATTGTGGCCCACGAATACTAACTTTTGGGGAAAGTGGAATATTAGTTGCTTAATTCTAAGATGCATGGTTTTGTGTTAATATTGAGTATACCCAATAATTCCAATATCAACACAAATGTACCAATTGGAAATAATAGAACTATAATAACTGAAGGATTACTTGGAAAGGGACCAAAGGAAGATTTTAAAAGTTTTATTTCAAACCCTTTCACGATACCGGACAAATTATAAACACACTTTTCAAGTTTTCCACATTGTAGTCCATGAAACTACCCAGCTTTACAGCCATGTAAGATATTACATTAAACATGTTAAGATGGATATGAAAACTTTGGAATGTTCTATATTATTATATTTATAAAAGCAAAATCAACCGAAAAGGGATTCCTAAGAAAGCACTACCCCCC